TGGCCATGCAGTGGGTACAGGGTGAGATGGAACGCATGGAGCGTGAGGGCCAGGATATCAAACTGGACTACGAAACCGAGCTTTCCGACGAGGACGAAGCGAACGTCCTCAGATCATCGACAGCTGGACTCGGCGAGTTCGTCATCGCCCTCTTGGGCAAAGTCTTTACGCTCTTGGAGAATCTGCCCGATGCTTCCCACATCAGGGGAGGCACGCCTGAGGACAATGTTATCAACGCGTTGCCGGCAGCCCTCTCGCCTCTCTTCGCATCACTGTCCCCTGAGCTTTTCGACACAGCCCTCGAGAAGCTCGCTTCCTTCGTCTCGACTCACGTCGTGCACCAGGCTAGAGACGCAATGGCCTGGATTCTCAATGCCCTCTGCAAGGTCAACCCCGAAAAGACTCTCAAGGTCTTCATTCCCATGCTCATTGTCAACATCCGAAATGAAATTGACTTCAATCATGCTGCATCAGACCGAAGCAGCGGCACTGACTACTTGCCAAGAGACCGTGCTCTTGTTTGGCATGTGAGCATGCTAGGCATGGCTGTTGTACATGTTGGTAATGAGGTTTTGAAATACCAGACCGAGCTCCATGACATTGCAAAATACATGCAAGAAAAGTGCCGTGGTCTACCCACCATTCACATTTCCAACTACATTCACCACCTGCTACTGAACCTGACACACACCTATCCCATCGACACGGCTTTGTACGAGCCCGATGTTATCAAGCACGGACTCGATGTCACCGACTGGGGAAAGACAACCTCTCCTGCTGATCTTACAATCAAGTGGCATCGACCTTCGGCTGGAGAAGTGCAATTTGCTCTGGAGCTGTTTGATTCTCAGACCAAAGCAGCCACAAAGACGCTGGATCTCTTGATGAGCGAAAAGCCTCCAGTCAGCCGAACGGGAAAGAACAAGGAGTGGTCGGATGAGGTCTCTCGGCTGTTCCAACAGATAAGGTTGGTCATCTCTGGAGTGGCAACGTTATTTGATGCGCACCGTGCCTCCGGCGAAAGCCCGAATGGTCAATCCAGTGTGGACGGCGAAGGCGACACAGAAATGAATGATGACGATCCTCTCGCTGAGGCGGCCGAAGACGAGGAGACACGACCTCAGTACCGCTACGACGCTGGATATCTCTTGACTGTCGAAGATCCTGCCTACCACAAGCTGCATGAGCTGAGGGAGGATGTGGGACAACTGCTGTGCCGAAGCCACGAGTTTCTCAACCAAAATCAAGAAGACGACGTCTCTTGTTTCACGACGCTGTATGCGGCCTATCGGACCTGGATTACTGACGTTGGCATTGAGCGGTCTGCCCATCCGCTGGAGAGACACCTTCGCCTATACAAGTCGGACATCTCTGCATTCAAGATCAGTGGCCTTCGCAAAGTGTACCCACGACCACTGCTGATCAAGCGAGCGGATGCGTACCAACTCCTCCGTGTCAAGCACAATGCATCAGCGCGACAAAAGAGTGACCTGGATAAACAACTCTTGCTCAACCTTGCCCAGTCATCTGTTTCCCCTTACGCTGATGTCAGGCGTGTCGCACAAAGCGCTCTCGATTCGTCTCTCAAAGCCCTTATTGGTGGTCGGCCTCTCGTGATCCCAATTCTTTTGGACAGACTCCGAGTAGCTCTGGACGAAGTCGACCACGATCGCATCAAGGGTGCCATGTATACCCTGTTCTTCACTGGCTTATTGAGGACGATGGTCAAGGACTGGAGATTTGCTCCGGATGCGCTCAAACTGTACCTTCGTGCTGGTACCATTGACAAGCCCAGCATTCAGCAGCTCAACGCTACGGCGCTTTTCCCTCTGCTGGACTTTGGCAAGCCTTTTGAGCGAATGATCATCGTCAACCAAGACTTTGTCGAGAAGATCCAACCTTCAGACGACTGCTCCAAAGCCATAGAAAGTCGCCACAACTTCATTGTTCAACGGCGAGAGCGTGTCGAGAAGAAGAAGCTTGCGCTAGGCTTGGAGTTGACCGAAATGGCCAAAGCAGCTCACTGGAAGATCGCGTCTCGATGCGCAATCTTTGCCAGCAACATGTGCTTGCGCTTCGACACGGTCGCGCCTCCTGAGTTCATCGCTTTAGTGACAGAGGGTATCAACGACACTCACCCTGGCCTGCGCTCCAGCTACATGGCTGCATTTACCAGCGTTTTCGAAGCTGTAGAGATGCGTGCTGCTTATGACCACACCTACCGCAACTATCTTCTTGAGAAGGAAAAGGACCGGAACAAGATCACGATTGAGGTCCCCAAAGGCGATGCAGCCTTCACGCAGAAGTATCTGGATGCATTTGCCGGCAGTCCCGAGACTGCAGAGTACATGGTTGACTCTGATCATCCAGGATGGCTGGTCTGGGGCAAGAAGTTCCTCGCATCGCGTGCGAAACCCATGCCTTTCACCGATTATGACGACACCGAGACGGCGGTCCGGAAGCAAATCGGCCAACTGATCACGAAGGAGTGGCTGAAGACATGTTTCGACTACCTCAAGCAGGAACCTCGCGATGCGAACGCTGATAGATTCCGCATGGGCAACGTGTACATGTTGATGCACGTGTTTGATCTCATGCATTATGGGGGCACTGCGATCAAGCTAGATGACGTCAAAGAACTCACCAATGAAGTCTATGGCGACGGCAGCGACAAGCATCAACACCGTGCTACGGCAGAGATCATCGCGGCGCTTCTGTGCGGATCAAGCGATGATCCGCCCGAATTCCGCGACAAAGTATGGGGATTCGCCGCGCCTCTAATGCTGAAGGTCCTTAACGAGGACCTCACACCGGAGAACTTGCAGTACTGGGTCTCATGCTTGCATCTGACGGTTGACCCGAAGGATCCGCGTAGGTCGCACGAGCTCGTTGACGCATTGAGTTCTTTCCGGCTGGATATGTCTTCCAATGCTGCCTTCAAGGAGTCCAGCAAGGTCCAGGTTCTGGAGTTCATTATCACAGACTCGGGCTGGCACTTCCGTCACGAGAAGCCCATTCTCGCAGACTTCCTCGCACACATTGACCACCCCTACAAGACCGTGAGAGAAGCCATGGGCCGCGTCATTGCCACCATCTATCGAACCCGCTATCACGAATCCTTCGAGAACGTCGATAAGTTGCTGGAGGCCAACAAGTCGGCCTCATCTCTCGGTCTTCGCCCGTACGAGGCAAGCAAGGAATTTTCCGAGACTATGCTTGAGATCTTCGACCGTCTCGAGAAGTGGCGACATGAACGTACCCCTGGTCAACAGACACCTTCGTCCTACACCAGTGGTTCGAAGACTGTCTTGACCTGGCTTGATAGCACATTGTCGTCACAGGAATGCACACAGCTGATGCCATTCTTCCCTGAGCCTTTCATGGAACAGCTTCTACACATGATGGACGTCAAGGAGGATCCCGAGCTTATGAGGCTCGCCTACCACGTTTACCGTCATCTGCCGAACATTCCTTTCAGAATTGGCGAAGATGGGGCTTTCATTGATGCACTGGTCCGCATCGGCAAGTCTGCCACGAGCTGGCATCAGCGGCTGCGATCCATGGTCAACATGCAAGTCATTTACTTCCGTCGCCTGTTCCTCATCGAGAAGAAGCAACGGGACATCTTGTTCAACGCCGTCAGCGATATGCTCGCCGACCCCCAACTCGAAGTCCGCTCTTGCGCATCGGCCACGTTGGCCGGCATGATTCGATGTTCGCCAAAGCAAATTCGCGACCCCACCATTGAACTCCTCAAGAAACGCTTCGAGAACGAGCTTCGCCTTAACCCCATGCCCAAGAGGAAGCTCCCAGGCACTGAGACGCCTGTGGACAACAACAAGCAGATTGTGCGTCGTCACGCTGCTGTTCTAGGTCTCGGAGCACTCATCGAGGCCTTCCCATACGCCACACCGCCCCCGTCCTGGATGCCGGAGGTGCTTCAAATCCTTGCTACTCGTGCTGCTAGTGATCCTGGCGTGGTTGGCAAGGCTACCAAATCAATTTTGTCCGACTTCAAGAAGACAAGACAAGATAGCTGGAGTGTGGATCAAAAGGTACAGTCCATCATTTTACCCTCAGCCTCGTGTTGGATATCGTCTAACAAATCAACAGTACTTCACATCAGAACAGCTCGAGGATTTGGAAGGTGTGCTCTGGAAGAGTTATTTCGCATAGTCGGCGCGACATGGCTCAAGCATGTAGCGTGCATGCGTGTGTTGATTCGGTTTAGGACATGGGCAGTCATAAAAGGCATGGTGACGGAATGATATCCACTGGGGGAGGCAGGATTGCATGGCCTTGATAGATAGGCCCAGGATAAATAAACATTGTGCTTGTGAATTTAGTAGACTTTGTAGTTCATATCCATGCTTTGATCGTACATATTGATAACCTCGACTGCTTTGGCTTCGGAATCTATCCAAAGAGTTGTTTGTCTTCGCGAGGGACTTGGGAGACCTACCTGTGAGCTCGTAGTCTTGTCGCAAGGCTCCGATCAGCTGGGGACCAGGTATGGATGCCTCGAGTCACGACATGTGTCGGGAGACTAAACCTTATTTCGAGCACGTTCAATGCGACGAACTCAGCCTACGCGACGCGGCGTTCTGGAACAGTCTGACACGCCCAGTTTCCAGGGTCCAAAGGGCTGATGCCAAGTCCTTCTCCCGCGGTGTGATATGGGCAATGGGCGCGCGGCAGCAGGGACAGGATGCTCGCTGTCGCCGTTTCGGAGTCTCAGGCCCTGACATCTGAGACGTCCCGACGGGGCGGTTCACCGTCCTCGTGCGAGAATGACTCGCAGGGCGAGCTCAGGTCTGGGCTGGAGTTCAGCTTAGTAGTTGCCTTGTTTTGCCTTGGCTTTTTTGAAGCATGGAGAGGTGTATATGAACTGGATGAACCACGCTGTCGTGTTCAGGTTTGGTTCGTCTTAATTATCAGGTCATCAGCTCGTCCAGCACAGTATTCACACGACTCATCCCTCTCTACCTTACGCGATACAACAACTTCCCCCACACCTTTGCTCCAATAAACGAAACAGCCAAGATGAAGACCACCATCGCAACACTTGTTCTCTTCGTTACCATGAGTCTAAGCGCCAAGACGACTTCCCTCTGCAAAGACGTGGGCAACAAGGTTATTGAGGATAATGGGGTCTGTTCTACGGCCGGAGGTGCTCCTCTTGGCAAGGGCGTAAGTTACCATGAACATACCATGGACGTGTCTCAGAGGATGTCGTACTGACGAGGGAATGAATCTGTTGCTTTGACCAGTCCAATGCTCTTGTCAAGTCGAGGTTTGACATTGCCTGTGATGATAAATTGGGTACGGTTCAGGCTACTGGGGAGGCTTGCGAGCCCTAGATATGGAGCGGTGGATTCATTTGGTCATTCAAGTCGTTTAGCGGTGCATTCAAAAAGCGTCATTCCAGCGATGTGATCTTCAATACTAGTCTTCATTTGAGGTTTCGATGTCCACAAACTCATACTATCAGTGTTGATGAATTGATTGGGGCAGTTACATCGGACGAGGTCTTGTCCACAGTCGGCGGGGATAAGACGGAGACAAGACGGAGACGATGCGCAACAACGGCACGTCAAATGGATTGTGCCATCTGAACTATCTTTTGCGTTTGACGTGGAGGGGGTCTACTTCAATTCGGTATGAAGAAATGGGTGCTTGCCTTGTGTCGGAAATCACTTAGTGTATGAAGGAACGGAATCGTCGATGCTACTGCATTGCTTCGTGACATCGAAGTAGGCCTAAGCTCACTTCTTGCTACCCACTACTTGAGAATCCTAAGCCTAATATGAGGGCTTTCACTACGTTCATGACCGTGGGTGCCCTTGTGTCACCAATTACGGCTGACTGGCAGTTTCGCTCGCGACCTGACCTCGCACCTCCGAGACTCAACATCACCATCCCGGCCGCGGACTCAGTGGAAAAGGGGTTCATCTTCGTCGCCCCCTATGCTGGCTTTGAAGAAGGCAACAGCGGACTGAACCAGCCGGGAGCTTACATCTTCCGAGATGACGGGGAACTCGTATGGTCTAGTATTGGCTACTATGCCGGCTGGCTTGCCAACTTTCGCCCTGATACTTGGAACGGGCAGCAATATCTTCGCGGTTTTCAAGGTCTCCTTGACGGGCACCATGGCCGCATGTTTGGATATCATACACTCCTAGGCTCTGATTACGAAGCTGCAAAGGTGGTGCGAGTTGGACCGCACCGACTAGTATCGGCCCATGAGTTTCGCTTGGTTGACGGAAAGACGGCTTTGGTAGAAACGCCTATTCCTAGGCCCGTTTCTCTGAAGCCTTGGGGAGGCAGCGAAGACCAGACATGGATCATCTCCGCCGGGTTCCAAGGTATGGTGCTCATGTGCTTCCAGACTCGATACTAGTGAAGATATCCGAAGCTGACTGAGGTGGTAGAGATTGACATTGAAACGGGTGAAATTATATTCGAATGGGAAAGTCTTGACCATGTAGACCCGAAGTGGGAGTCATTGGCCAGACAACATGCCTTTATGAGCCCGCTTATCTAAGACCTTATACAGATAGTGCATTCCCGCTCGATTTTGGCGAAGGCCTTCCAGGAGGCGGAAGAACCGAGGCTGATGGGTGGAACTACTTCCACGTCAACAGTGTTGATAAAGACGATGAGGGCAACTACCTCGTGTCAGCACGTAACACGGCGGCCGTTTTCAAGATCAACGGCACAAGTGGCGACATTATCTGGCAACTGGGAGGTTTCCACGGGGGGTGTCCTCCTTCGTACTTTCAAAGGAAGACGTTTTTAGCTACCAGCATCACGCACGTTTCCGCAGTCGTTCGGCTGATGGAAAGATCGAAATCATTTCGCTCTTTGACAACGGCACGCACTCCACATCAGTCAAGACGAATCCGTTTTCGCGCGGCCGCATCTACCAACTCAACCACACCGATGGCACAGCCAAGGCTCTAAAAACATACAACGCCCCGGATAGACTATCGGCTCACACTCAGGGAAACTTCCAAGTGCTTCCTAACGGTAATGCCTTCATCAACTGGGGCCAGGCGGGCGCAGTGACCGAGTACAGCAATGACGGTGACGTCTTGTTCCACGCCTACCTCGACTCAGCCCCCGAAGGCCATTTAGTCCAGAGTTATCGTGTTTCCGTTTCAACTGGACGGGAACGCCCACAGAGGAGCCGGCCATAGTTGCTTTCAGTGGAAAGGACTCTGTCATCGACGTGTACGTTTCGTGGAATGGAGGTACCGAAGCAGCATCATGGCGCTTCTCCTCTACGAGTGCAGTAGAGGCGGATGCCCGTCTACTGGGTGAGATCAAAAGAGACGGCTTTGAGACGCATTTTACGTTTTCAGGAAGGGTCAATGAAGACAACTCATTGGTTTTCGCCCAAGCTGTCAGTGCCAGCGGCAAGATCCTGGGGCAGACTCGGGCAACGACGATCTCGAGGAACGAGTTATCGCCCCCTTCTACGTCGGTGCAATGGTCAGAGGAGCTTTGAACTTATCTCGATAGTGTCAACAATTTCCGAGCACAACTATGAAGGATTGAGAGCACATGCAGTTTTTAACGACAGAAACGACCAGTCTTGACGTTGACTGACAAGGGTTGTGGCGAAGAGGGTTCTAGAGATTTCATCCATGAGATCCCTCCAGGCTCATCATACTCTCTGCTACGGCAGAGAGCCAGTAGGAGGGAAGGACTGATCACTGATCAGATTTAGAAAACATGAAGATCTTATGAAATTTCTACTATCGATGGACTGAATGTCTTCAGGCCAAGGTATTGGCGGAAACAGCGTGTCCTGTCGGGAATTCAAGTGCAATCCGAGTCGATTGCGATATTCTTGGTGTTAATCATCTCTCATGCGTACGGGTGGGGTTGAGGATTTAATCCATGGACGTTGGAGTTGCGGCTCTACTGGGCGTGGTCATCGTACAGGAGCCAAGTCGAGATTCTAGCCAGATTCTCGTTAACATCAGGCCGTTCGGTCAACTCCCGACTACCAAGAGATCTTGGTATCTTGGATGTCTTGGCTTACCAAAACCAACCCTGTCCTCCCTCCAACTCAGTATCGTGAAAATACGGCCACACACTCCACAACAGGTTCACCACTTACGAGAGTTTCGATTTCATTTAGCGTCAGACCTAGTCACATTATCCGAATTCTCCCGAATTATCTTGGGGCCAAGGAAGCTCAGCCGGAGATCGGCTTACGTATGGTGCTTCCAGAGGCTTTTGTCTTGGTCCGTGGTTCTCCAAGTAATATGCATGCCCAGTGGCCAAGACTATTTCAGCTTCACCGCGGAGACTCCACCTTGATAAACTGCTGTTCCGCGAGGTCTTACGCCTCCCTCGGGACTCTCGTCGAAAGTAGTCCTTTGGTAGGCCTCCGGAACACAAATCTGGAGAGCACTGCCCAGTATTTTCGTTGAGGCGGGGCTGAGGGCAACTCCAGTCTGATCCCTGGATTCTTACCTGTGGCTTCTCTTGACCCGGGGGAGACCCGCCAGACATTGGCTTGTCTGGAGTATGGAGGCGGGGTCCGGGGAAGTTTCATTATGGAAGGCGGAGAAGCATGGGGAAGCGAAGCACAATAGGGAAAACAGTAGCATCCATTAGAACCAGATGATGGCAGCTCAAAGAGTACGAGTCTATCAGTAAGGGGTTCTTTCTCTAGTACATATAAAAGAAAGCACCTCCCATGCCTTTTCTTTCCTTAGATGCGACGCTTCAACCTTCTCTTGATACTGCCTACACTAGACAGCTTGCCTTCGTCAAAGCAATCCTAAGACATGGTCAACGAAGAGAAGCCCACGGCCCAGCCAGGCATCGGCACGGCTCCTTTCACTGGTACCAACAACACCACCGCGGATCATGTTACCAAGGACCCCTCTTTAATAGAGGCCAACGAGGCCAACGGCAAAGGGGATCTTCTTCCCACTCCTGAAGAGCAGATTGAGGCTCTTGGAATCGCTAACTGGCGTGATCTCGAGAAGCAGCTCGTCAAGCGACTTGACATGACTCTCATGCCGTGCTTATGGGTACTCTACTTGTTCAACTATCTGGACCGAGCGTCTATCGCGTAAGTTCCAACATAAATGAGACGAGATAGGCCTAGCCTTGTCCATGCTGACTGAAATTGACTGCCTCAGACAAGCTCGCCTCAGTAGCCTGGACGAAGATCTCAACCTTGAAGGTTATCAGTACGGAACTGCTGTTTCAATCCTCAGTGTTGGGTAAGCGAATGAACAAAACCTTCGTCCCTTGGTGTTATTCAGCTTCTGAACCGAGAAACAGATATGTCCTTGGTCAAATTCCGTCCAACATGATTATTGGAAAAGTCCGACCTAGTCTTTATCTTTGCTTAATGGCCTTGGTTTGGTCTAGCGTCTCGGCAGCAACATGTGGTGTCAAGAATTACCAAGGCCTCATCGCCGTCAGATTCTTCCTCGGCGTGGTTGAAGCACCGTTATTCCCAGGGGTAAGTCCTCACTCGACATTTTTGCACTTCTATCCTTCGAGCATGCTTCTGATACTTTCTAGGCGATCTACGTCATGTCTTGTTGGTACACGCGTAAGGAGATGGCGTTACGTTGCGCACTGCTGTACACTGGCCAAACTCTGGCTTTTTGTACTGCCGGCCTCATTGCAGCGGCTGTGTTTGGTACCTTGGAAGGCAAATACGGCTTAGCAGGCTGGCAGTGGCTGTTCATCGTTTTGGCGTCAACCGGCGCAGGACTTGCCATGATCGCCCTCTTTATCCTTCCAGACTATCCCGATTCGACTACCGGCAGTGCTCGCTGGTCCATGACGGAGGACATGCGGAAGGTGGCTGCTGCTCGCATTCTGGCCGATCGCGTGTCAACTTCGGAAGCTAAAGCTGGTGTCTGGGCTGGGCTGAAGATGAGCATCTTCGACTACAAGATGTGGCTGCTTGTCGGCATGAATATCGGAATCTCAGCTGCCTATGGATTCTCGAACTTCTTCCCGTCCATTGTCCGGGGGTTCGGCTACAACAACACCATCACTCTTGTCCTGACCGCGCCACCTTATATCTTTGCGGCTCTTGGTTCTCTCGTGAACGCATGGCACTCTGATCGGCAGAAGGAGCGCGGTTACCATTTCGCTGGTCCCATAGCTTTCGGGTGCATTGGCTACATCATCTGCCTGGCTACTGAGAGCAAGACAGCACGGTACGCTGCTTCTTTTGTGTATGTTGGGGGGATGTACTTTGCAAACCCCCTCATTTCAACCTGGACATCCAACACTATGGGTAGGACACCGGAGAAGCGCGCCATCTCTGTCGCACTTGTCAACGTGCTTGGCCAGATTGGGAATCTGATTGCTCCCTACTTCTTCGTTGACTCTGATGAGCCACGCTATCGGCTTGCCTTCATTATGATGATGGTCATGGGCCTGATTGCATGCGCAAGTGCCATAGGCCTGAAGTTCTACCTCTATAAGGCAAATCAGAGATTGTACCGGGAGGCCGTTCGCAACGGCAGCGTGTATAATCCTTATGTCATGTAAAGTTATGTCGTAGGGTATATATGGCGTTAATTGCTGCCCGCAAAAACGGCGTCGTTTTTGCGACAAGTTACGACTTGGCTACCATTGCACTTGAAGATAACCGGTAGAGTTCAGCTGCGCCATCTCTATCTGGGATGGCGCCGGACAATGCAGTTGGGATTCTTCACAAGGATGGAACTGCTCATAGGTCAATTGCTGACAGCAAGAAATATGAATAAGTGACTGGCAAATCTTCTCGCTCCTTTTCCTCTTTTATTTGTCTTAAGCCGAGTTACGAACAGTGATTGCTAGTGTCTGTCCTTACACCGGACCAGTAAAGGCACCTTCTGCCAGATGATGTATATCCTTTGTCTCGACGTCCATTCCTTTGACTCGTCCATCAACTCAAGATCGAAGTTCCAAACTAACTTGGCCAAGATGATGCGTAGTTCTGCATAGGCCATGCTAAGAAACGTGGTTAGACAGGACTACTTTAGATGGAGTACCTGCACCTACCTCTTGCCTATACAGTTCCTAGGGCCATAAGAAAAAGGCTGACTTGCAGACTTATCGTCATTGGCAAAAGAAAAGTCATTGCTGTTGTCTAACCAACGTTCTGGGATGAAATTCCTAGGGTCAGTCCAATTTTGCTCCGACTGACCAGCGGAAAGCTGATGAACGCCGACCGCCGTCTACAACATCGAAAAGTTAGCATCTTGCTTGTGTCATCAGGAATGGACTTTCATCCGAGGCTGGCACTCACGCCTCCAGGCACCCATCTCCCATCAATTTCTTCACCCACCCCAGGCACAAATCTTGGCAGAGTACTCGGGCTTGGGGGATACATCCTCAGCCCTTCTTCGATGACTGCCTTGAGATACTTCAACTCCCCTGTCGATGCCATTGATATGTCATCTTCGGTCTGAAATGCAGTTCTGATCTCTTCCGATAGCGCGATGTACGTCTTCAGGTTGCTGCACAAGTAGAAGGTGATGCCAGAAAGTGCAGTAGCCGTAGTGCCGCTGCCTGCTACCATGAAAGCAGACGCCATCCTGACCAAATCGGCATTGCTGAGGTCGGCTTGCGGATTTTCCAAGATGTAGCTCATGAAATCCTTTTTGCTATCGGTTTCTTGGAGTCGGCGTTTGACCTTCCCTGCAGTCAACTCGCCATGTCTCTTGAGTGCCAGTTTCTGGGCCTTCGGGGCGAGCCACTCTAACCAGGCCTCAAGCCCATAATATATGGCAAATTGATATCGAACAATTCCTTGCGCTCGAGCACCAATGACTTGCAACCAAGGTTGAGATGCGTCGTCTAGGCATCCAGCCGCCTGGCCAAACGCCAGGTCACTAATGATGTCAAAGGCAGCAAGACTAAACCATTTGACCATGTCCTGGGGAGCTCCGGTTTTGCTGGAGGATCGCAGCTGTTTCATCAATTTCTCGGCATAAAGCTGAAGGATGTCTTCCTGCTCTCTCAGTGCCCGGTCGCTGAAGGCCGGCAAGACTGCCTTTCGGAGTCGAGAGTGGGGTCCCTGGTCGGCTGTCACGATGCCGCCATTCCGAACCGCTGGGTTAGTTACACTAGGTCCAGCGATCCCCCGTCCGTCAAAACATTTCGGAAACTCCGGTGATCTCTGACCATAGATCTTCTTCCAGGCCGTAGAGCTCGTATAGGATAACTCATCAGGTGCAATTCTGACAACTGGTCCATACTTTTCGTGGAGCTCACGGATTTTCCAGGCGAGGTTGCCTTGAAGGTTGACAGTGTTCCACGGCAGTCGAGAAGCTGCCCAGAGTCGAGGTCCAGGATAGCGGCTTAGAGGATGGAAGTAAACATTGTAAATGGTGCGAGATACAACGAAAGCAGAAAACTTCAAATCGTTAGCTACAGCCAAGAACCATCAGAAGAAGCCTACATTAACTCACACAAAAGCTGACAAGAAATAGCACTAGCCCAAGATGGGATGCGCAGAGCGCATTGAACCCCAGAATGAAGTGCATGAAGCCTGTCTCTTGGAAGAGTCCGGTCTCTTGGAAGAAAGGTTTTGCCCGCTGCTGAGAGCCAATGTCAACTGACAGTGAATACACAGGTCTCTTGGCGTTGCCAAAGCTTACGGCACAGGAATGCTTTTTATTCTCACCACCAAAGAGTTCACATGGCGCATCGCGAGTCAGGAATCGCGTTGAGATCAACGAACAGAGGGGCTGCTTTCAAAACGTGGGTATCTTCCAGGCTTTGATTCACTGCATAAACCATAACCATCCCTGCAGCGGGACCGCTACAAATGGTCGTACCGGGGGTTGGTGGCGGACACACAACGACCTCAAGTTGCATCAAATCTAACAATTATCTCAGTCTATGGGTATCATTTCTCCTCATCTTCCTCAAAGAAGTGCACGACTGATGGTGCGAAAGTGGCGTTGCCATTCACGTTTCCTCCGTACTGCAAATATCCAGCCGCATCAACAGCAGGAATGGCCGTAATGTCTAGGTAATCTCCCATGACCCAAACACTTTGCATGCCCATCACCAAGTGTTGCAAAATGTGGCAGTGGATCTAGACTCTGGTCAGCTCATGTCTTTCTTGCCTTGTGGAAATGAAGCAAACCTACCATCCATACACCTGCGTCTTCCACGCGCAGACGCCAGCCTCTCCACCCGGAAACCTCGCCGGACTTTGTTTTCTCACTATATCGGTAAAGATTTGTTGTGTCTCGCTTGACTGGATTGTAGTTCTTCAGCCGCTCCTCGTTTTCGGTGCAGTTGTACGTTCCATTTCCACTGCCGATATCCCAATAGTGGCCGCCATGAGCGTGGAAGGGATGGAAATCGAGGCCACCATTGCCATTGACGAGAGATCCAGTATTGTGCCAGATGATTTCGAGAACCTTGTAGTCATGTTAACTCGTTATCCTCTTAGTTGATGCGATAAAGAATTAGCAATTACTTACCTCGCCCATCTTTGCCGGCCATGTCAACGTAGTTGGATCCCATCCGTTGTTGTTCATGGCTGCTGTGTAGTTCGGAATAGCAGACGGCCCATTCTCGTAGATGTTGATCAAGTAGGGTTGATCTCCCGCATAGGGTGTCGAAGTCTCGTTCCACTGCAACCCGTTGAGCTGCCAAATGGTAGTTTGAGTCGCCAGTTGACGATTGTCGATGTGGATGCGTCGAGTCACTTCGCTAGCCTGGGGGAAGTTGTTGGGTACCAAAGGTTCTAGTGCATACTCTGCCCATTCATACGTCTTATTCGAAAGCGTCAAAGGAGGAGTAACTGGCGCCGTGGTGATCTGAGGCTGTGCCTTGGAGTATCGTAGCACACCGTAGCCCTGATACACCTTCGGACGGTCTTTGGTCTCCAACTGGATCAGGTAGTCGGTTTTCCCGTTCAGCTCTGCTTCACTCTTGGCCTTGAAGATGACGTCAAAGCGTTGGCCCGAGCTCAACTGCATGAACTTCTCGGTGTGAGGCTTGGTATAATGACCATCTGCTTCGATGATGGTGAAGTTGTCATGATCCACTATGCCAACTTGTACCATAGACAAGGCCGTGGCACCAATGAAGCGCATGCGGTAGGTCTTCCCAGGTTCGACGTCGATAACTGGCAACTTGCAGTTCCCATTTCCAGCTGTTTCACCGACAGAGACTCCAACGCCATTGATGAGGACCGCATTGGTTTCACCAGACCAGGTAAAAGGCGTCGCTACCAATCCCTTCTCGATGTCGGTATCCGTTTTGCTGAAATAATCGGTAAGGAAGACAATCCTCTCCTCGTCGTACGCGTAGGGGGGCTCGGCCTTGTCCTCGACGATCAATGGACCAGAAGCTGTCGTTGCCTGGAAGCCGACATGGGAGTGGTAGACGTAGGTGCCCGATTCGGATCGCAGGGGGTAGACCTCGTAGTCAAAGAAGTGGTCAGGTGGAATGGGCCACTGGGTGGCCGATGGGCTGCCATCAGAGAAAGGTGCCATGCGCATACTCAGACCGTGCCAGTGGATGGTGGCATTGTGGTCTGGCATATCATTGTAAACTCTGATCCAACTTCTTCGCCCAGGCTTCAGTCTGAGCGTTGGCCCGAATAGTGTGCCATTGATCAGAGCTGACATTCTTGTCTGACAACCGATTGAAACGTTTTCGTAGGTCATCTTCAACACAAAGTCCGGCGTAAAGCTGGCACCATGCTCATGTCGACCTCCATAGTGGCCCGGGGGCCCGTGATCCGATTTGCGCGGGCCCCAACCAGAGACCTGCGTAAGCAGGGCAAAGAAACAAAGTACCGAAACGAACGACTGCATCATGGTCAATGAACGCACAGAGGAAGGGAGAGCGTGTGGGATCCGGATACAACGAACGGAATATGGCCAAGGACCTTACTTTAGATGTAGAGACGCTCACGAACCCCTCACTCGGCGCCATGTCTCACAGCAAAGATGAGGGAATGCCATCATTGGATTAGCCTTCCGCGCTACTCATTCCAGTATCACCGCAGACATTCGTAGCCCCTCTTCGTTCATTTCACTAATAAAGTTACCGTTGGGCGCACCCGCCGAAGCGTTAGCTGCGTTCCTCGCCGGCGGTGCACGCACACGTTGTCGGCACTGCAGGTCGAGCGGCCCTGTGCCGGTTTAGCCCCGCGATGCAAACCTAAAATATGATTGTTTCCAATCGGAAATCCCAAGCGTGCTGCGAATGCGAGGAGAGTGGGCTTGCGTAGCGTTATTGGCTTTAAAATAGCCTTTGGCTGATCCTGTCGTAGGGTATATCCCATCGAGTGCGGATTAATGTCAAAAACGCCAAGGGCGGGGCAGAGCCAATATGGGGCTTGCGAGGCCACTGGAGTCAACCAATGAATAACTAGGATTTCCAGTACCTCTATTCCCTATTGATTTTGGGTATGCCAGAGGTACCAGCAATCCCCCCTGGTACATAAAGCTACGTTGCAATCTAAGTAGCCTTTCCGAGTGAACCTACGTTGCCGCTTGAGGCTATTCCTAGTTGTATTACTAAGAGCCTGGCGAGATCTTAGTGCTGCCGTATTACTATAATAGGAACATGGCTAATAAGCCTTCCTAGACCCCTGACGATGCTGCTGCCAGGGAATAGAAGTATTCTTCTTATCTGAAGCCCGCTGAGACCGTGAATATTTTCGACCTCCTGCTAATGGTCCAAACTGCTGAATAAGCTGGGATGTAAGTAGTTGCCGCTATTGGTAATAGGTCTTAACCTTTTGCCACTCAGGCTTTCCCCAGAACTGTAGAAAGAAGCTATTCACAATAATTACCTTCCGGCGTGGTGTAGTGGCATACACCTGGCAAGGCCTCTGGAGCCCAGAGGTCGCTGGTTCGATTCCAGCCGCCGGCAACTGCTTTAACTACCTGTGGGAAGGGTAGGGCAGAGCCCAATGCGGGGCCTAGGACCCTTTCCGGGCCCTCGCCAGGGTTTTCTCATATCCACACCCTCCGACCAAGAAAAAGTGGATATGCGGCGAGTACACGTCGTCAACCAAGTACTGGGGCAGGAATGGTCTTGTACAAATCAGAACATGTACGAGGGGCCTGTTTCGGCAGGCCGCCCTCTCCAGACATATCCGGCCTTAAGCCGCAAAATTCAAGAATGGAACTGGGGCACCAGTGGGAACCAGGGACAGATAGAACGCATAGTAGCCATAAGGCACGATTTGGAGGACGATTTGAACTGTATCTAGCAATAGTTATAGGGCAACGGCTCTCCACGCCATATACCCTTCGGGAGGTCAGCCGCAAGGGCGGCTGCGCCCTTGCCGCCACGGCGTTAAATATAACACACACACACACACACACAATAATTACTTCTAGCAGGAAGTTCCAAGCAAGTGCCTGCCAGCCTCCTCGACGAATAGGGTGACTAGATTGATAACAGGACCTCATCTGGTCACTAATATCAACCCCATTCATCTTATGATTATACTCATCAATTGCCTTAGGTACTGGGAGGTTCTTGCGGACGTATGGGCCAAAGACTTGCCGGGCAGCCCGCTTGCTTGCAGAGTTTCCAGCCGGCCGGCGCGGGAGACGGGTAACCTCCTGGCCGTCTCGGAAGACAGTTGTCATAAAGAGGACAAGAGCATTATCCTTCCAGGTGAATTGGTTAACCTAAAAATAGATATACTAGTCAGTATAGAGATTTCTATAGAAAGTAATTTATAATATCATACCTCCCCATCTAAGGTAGGGATACAATGGGTCTGCCCCCAAGAGATACCTTGACCTTCTGCTTCCTCCTCGGTGACAAGGATCTTATCTGTCCCACTGTCTTTCCGGCAGGTTCCAGAAGCTCCGACTTGCTGCTTCCGGAGGGCCCGAAGAAGCCGTACAGACGCGAAGAGTTTATCTAGAAACACATGGTAGACTGCAGCTGGAAGTAAGGTAATAAGTGTTGTTACAACACGCTGCGTTGGTGTCAATGGGACTGTGATAGCTACTCCAGCCTGACTATCTGCTGGCCGGGCTTGAGGGACTAGTCCGTACGGGCCCTTGCCGTGTACATGCCAGAGCCATCGTAGACAGTAGCCTGATTGGGCAAGAATCCAGACCTTGAAGCCAGTTAGGGTCGGCTTTGTTGGTATTGTTGTCGTCTCTAGGGACCGGCCTGTAAACCAGACCATAGCCTCATCAACAGTAAGGTCAGAGCCGGCTATATAGAAGGAATCTCCAGTATCTTGAATATAGGCTGACCAATCGTTAACCTTCCGGTATATATCCGGCATCCCGGCTTAGGCTTGGTGTTAACCTGACTGGCTAGGCTGGAAATCAGAGGTATTAAAGATGCGTAGCTGCCGGAGTAGACTTTGGAAGCGGTCCCGGGAGATAAACCGGGTAAATAGATGGATAGGATCCTCCTTTTGCTGTTGAGTTGACCAGTATCTTGATATTTGAGATTCATTATGAATCCCCATATAAAGTAGGATTCCTAAGAAGAGGTAAATCTCTTCTACAGAGGTCTTTCTCCACTCATACACTCT